TTGTAATGACAAAGCAGGAGGAAGAGCAGGTGCTGCACAGTCATGCCCAGTTAGCAGATATTTAAGTTACGAGTTCCAGAATAGGGAAAAGGTTGCAAAAACATTCTTCTACAGCTAGGCTTGTATTTTCATCTGGGCTTGGAAAGGTGTGTGTATATTCACTTACTGCATTGTTTTCCTTGTTCATGCAAATTGTATTCACTTGGCTTCATACAAGCTTATGTACTTGTAAAAAAAAAAAAGAAAAAAAACCCAAAAAAACCCCCACACACAAATTTTGTAGCACTGCCTGATCATATACTGTTAATAGACATTTTGTCATTTTGGTTTATGCTTCTATAAGAGGTGTAAGTAATTACTGAAATAATTGTCTTTTGAATTAAAACGTGATGTTAAGAAGAAAACTTTATGGAAACACTGAGCTAGACTGGTGCCCATGTTCTTTGAGCTGCTCAACTGTAGCAGGGTGCCTGAGCTCTGAGCTGCCAAGAGAGGTGCTGCTGCCTGACCTCAGCCTCTTCTGAAACGTGGAAAGATGCGTTGGCGAGAGATGCTTATCGTATGTAACTACGGGTTAAAGACTAAGTCTCATTCAAGTAAAAAGAAAATAACCACTTTTGATATTAAAACGCTTAAAAAGCATACCATGATGGTGTCTACAAGTAGAAGACAGAAGCAAATCTTAAATGTGTAATACTGCAGCTTTAACCCTTCAGTCCATTCCAATTTCTTTTTCCAGATTCTTGACATCATAAATGTAGAGGAAGCTGATGATGTCCCATCACAAAGTAAGGCAAGTTATTTCAAAAGGTTATGTTTGCAGAAAAATTGTTTTGTTTTAAACCTCTCACAACTCAGGAGATAGCCCCCGAGTCATCTAATACTTAAAGTAGGGCTGGACTTTCTCACAGTTTTTATTAGGGGGACTTCTGTGAGCATTTTTGAGAGGCCATCAGTAGCTGAGGCTCATGAATGCTTTGTTTCTGGGCAAACAAATTCTCTGAGCTCAGTAGACCTGCCTGTTGTGGGCCTGAATACCACATTTCTGAAAGAGCAATAGTTTGGTTTTGGTGGGGTTCAGATCACAGGCAAGGCAGTGCTAAAGGAAAGGAGAGGTGTGGAGACAGCAGCAAGTCCTCGCCAGCTCTCCCTTGGGCTTACCTGTGGTGTCCGAGAGGATGGGGCTGCAGCGGGCGGGCAGGTGTGACTTCAGGCGGTGATGGTGGAGAAGGCAGCAAGAGCTGCAGGACATCTGTCCGGTGGCACCGCCTTTGGCTCGTGCAGGGCTGTGACAACACCAGTGTGGGGAGAGGCAGCCCCGCACACACTAGGGGTACGGTGGAGGAAGAAGGCAGCCCCACCAGTGGCCGGTCCTCCCTCCTCTCCGGCACAGCCCGTTCCTCTTCCAAATGGGAGAGGAGGATGCAAGGGCAGAGAGCTGGCATGGGGAAGGTAGGATAGACCGTGGCATAGCAGCTGAGAGATGGAACGGAAAGATCTGACCCAGTTCAAGCACCGACCCTCCTGGAGATCTTAGGATATTTTACCTCGCATCACAGTAAAAATAAAAATACTCTTTTTTTCTGAATGCTGCTTGGAAAGCTGTAGAAGCAGAGTGATACATGCCAACTAAATAACAAAAATATTATAATCAAGTGATACCGTAAAATAGAGAAACTTTGTAAACATTTGGTCTCATAGAAAAAATGTACTCATTTTATAAAAAAAATGGAAGCCACGTAAACCTGCTGAAATAATGTTAAGGAGCTAAAATTATACTACATGGAACAAAAGACTCTGCATCCTCTATGTAAATACAACTATTTCTAGTGCTCATTTCCCATCCCCTGTGAGAAACTATGTTAATTTCTTATTCCTTTGGTTTTATTTACCAACCATTTCTGTTGGGACTCTCCATTTTCTTAACCAATGAGTTGCTGTTAATTCCTGAGTGTTTTTCCTAGCCAGTCTGAAATAGGATGGTAAGTTCCATATATTAATGATTGATTAATTTTTCTGCTAGCAGAATTTTAAAGTACTCTTCTTCAATACACTGTTCCTGTCCTCCCTATAATTATGTTTTCTGTAAGACACGGGAAAATGTTCTGTGAAATCAATACCAAACAAACAGCTCTACGCACAGATAAAAAATAATGGTGCAGGGGAAAACAAACACGGTAAAACTTGCTCAAACTTTTAAGGGTTCATTTATTCGCTTGTAAAAGAAAGCAATTGTGATAACGTTGCACAGCATAGTCTGGTATGGGCCTTTCCCCCCCCATCTTCCTGGGTTGAAAAAAAGGCTAAGAAGCACTGCTGTAGTATATTTGGGCTGATTTCATTCCTGTTGTTTCTAAGACAGGCTAGCTGTAGGAGTTACCCTTGTTTCAGTGTCACCCTTTCTATATTATCTAGACACTATTAGCTACAGCCAAGTAGAGTTTAATTAAACGCTGTGAAGTCTGGTATTTATTATTGCTGTGTCCAACTACTTTTCATCTTCATTTACTCTATAAACATTTAACGGGCAAGAACATTCCTTATGGATTTTAATTGAAAAATCTTATTGGGAACTGTTTGGGCTAAAAAAACCCAACAGCCCAATGTATTGCAACATCGAAAGTTTATGCAAGGTGATCCAAGGTCGGTAGTAAATCAGGTGGCCAAAAAATAAGAAGGGGATATGCCTCCACGACATCTCTCTGTCTTGCCAATCAACTTCTAAAAGCAATTGAAGTTTTTAATGGAAGAATGAGATTTGGTTTCAGTTAGTCTGAACTTGAAGTGCTTTGAAGCTAATGCACAGCTTGCACGGCCGTTGATCACTTGTCAATCACTACCATTTATCATTTATTGTTTACTGGAAGATTTTATTAAATATATACACAAAATTCCAAAATGTTCATTTGTCTTGTTCAATAAAGCAAAGCATTAGGGGGGAAAAAAAAAATCGTTATATTGGGTCTTAGATTTTCTTGAAACCATTGAATGAACCACTGGTAACATCCATCTCCTTTTAGGCAATCAGTTAATTACATTTTGGCAACTGATATACAAATAATCTCACAACTTTAAAAAGGACAGCATAATAAACTTCGTAGCCTAGGGAAAAAAAAAAAAGTAAAACAAAAGACAATGAATTTCAGTTTGCTTATTTTATTGTATGTGGTAGCTGTAGCACTTGGAGTGGAAGAGGTGCTGGAAAATTGTGTTGCTTAAGGTCTTCCATAATGCTGCAGAAGAAAACCTTAACACATCCTTGCTGACCAGCCACTCTATCTTCTATTGTGCATTTGTGGTCTGAAAGCAGCAACAAGCCATATACTTGTTATTTGCGTAGAAACAGTTATATAAATAAATTTATAATTAAATTTTATATAAATATAAAAGTTATATTTTACTCCATTTTACCTAAGGAGATTAAACCTCAATCCCTGGGAAGGTGATGGAGCAGCTCATCCTGGAAACCATTTCCAGACACTTTAAGGATGAGAACATTTATTTGCACCACTCAAAGCCGGTTTCTCATGTCTGTTTTCTCCGTTAAAAAGCACTCTTGCGTCGCACTGAAACTGATCTCTCACTAGCCCAAAGTGCTTTGTAAAGCACCTGGCAAAGCTCAAGTTTTACAGAAAATGCAGCAGCAGTTGCCAACAGCCCGGCATCTACAAGCTCACCCAGGCCAGTTGCTTCCACAGTTCCCAGGGACACAGAGGACTCTCTCCTACATTTTGGACACTAGTATGGATGTCTGTCCTGGGGACCTGCTGGAGGTACCGGCTGTCCCAAGCCTCTGTCAACTGGCTGCAACTACAACCCTGGCAATAGCCGGGCTCACCAGTGTCCCTAGGGAAAGAGGTGTCTCCTCCCCAAGCCTGTCAAGCCCTGAGTTTCAGAGTTCAGTAGCTAAACCTTGAGAATGGTGACGGTATCAATAAATCCCTGTTGGTGGTCTGCAAGACCCTGCATGATAACTGTAAGAGTTACTACACTGTTAACATAGTCACAGGTAATTCGGGGAGCGGAGAACACCATATGAGACCACTGGGTACTGTCAACAGGTTTTCCTGTAGCTGGCAAAGTCAAGGGGGTAGGTAGAGTTGATGATGGCACTCTGGACTGAACACTCCCATGCCCGTTGCAGACTTCCCCGCAGTTGAAGGTTCTTTGCTGCTGGTCAGTGGCTATCAAGGACAGCAGAACTCCACATAGAAGGACTCTACAAAGACTTTGAATGTGAGTCTCTGCAACAGACTGTTTTGTGCACATTACTGTTCGTCCCACGCTCCAAGCACTTTTACAAGCTCATCTCGCAGGCTCAAAATACCTTGCCAGCTACAGGAAATCCATTTTGGCCACATTTCCTGCCAGGATCTCGTACTCTGCAGTCGTATGTATCTCACAGGGGTGCAAGATGCTGATCATCTGAGACACCCCCTTGCACAACAGCACCACAACCACCTTAAGCAGGGGCTGGAAGGCCGCCTTGCTGCTTTGACGTGGCTCTGCATGGCCCAAGATGGGAACAACACTGACTGCATGGACTGAAGAGCAGAAGCACCAAACATCATGGTCTGGGAAAGTAAACATTGAGGAGAAGGAAGAACCTCCACACCGTCATCCTGACACAGTGATTACTGAAACGGATGCTGGCATCTTCCTCACTTGGACAATGGAAGCACATCGTGAGAGCACAAGACCTGATAGAGAGGTTTGCATTATCAACAGCGAATCCTCTCAAGATGCCTGTTACGGCAGAACACAGTCACTGCCTACTTGAGATGGAGCTGCTCCAAACTAAAGAACATTTAACACCAAAATGAATATTCTCAGCAGCCTATACCGGGGACGTGAGGAGCTCTGCAAAAGTTTTCAGTGCAATTGATTGCTTCAATTAATACAAAGAAGTTCATACTGCAAACATTGCAACAGGATATTGTGTATACACAAAAGCAAACGAGGTCCTTTTATGTTATAATGTTGAAATAAAAAAATATTTCTTACCCAAACTCTCCTGAAGATTTTTTTCCAGTAGATACACCCAAAGATTTTCTGGTTTTCTGCAGTATTCCTGGAGAGGTCTCTGCAGATCATTATTTAAAAAAAACTATTGGCCATAAAAAATTATATCCTACATAAATTCAATATAAAACCCAGAAATTCAGGGATCAAAGATATTGATACAAAGAGCAGTATGTATTATCATTCACAGGTTATACTACATATAACCACTAAAATAACTTTATAAAACATCTTCTAAATATAGACTGAGTATGGGTCATGATTACCAGTAGCAATGGGTGCTAGCAAACATACATGGTATCCTGCCTAGAGGGAACTGTTTTAGGGATGTGATGGTGTTAATTTTAAGGCTGAATCAACAGGGGGGAAGTCAGATGGAACAAACAACATTCAAAGCTTGATGCTTCATCTAAATGGACTTAACAAAATTTAAAGAAGATGGAATAAATCTTAACATCAAAGATTAAAGGTCATGGAGTCCTTTACGGGATAGACGGAACCTCACACCCAGACTGCATGTTTTAGAGACGTCTGTTTGAGGACCTCTAATTGAAAAGGCTAAGAAGCCCCTCCTGAGAACCCACATGAAAAACTCTGTGTATACATTCGGCACAACGGATCAAGATAATGACTTGGAAAGCCATTCAATATCAACAACATCCACTTGGAAATTTTTGACCCTTCTCATTTCTAACAAGTGTTGTACGGAAATGAGTTTAGGATTTCATGTCAAGGCCTGGACTTGGGGAAAAAAAAAAAAAAAAATTCACACTTTATCAGAAAACTGGATTCCAAAGCCTAGGATCTGCTTTAAAAATGCCACCCCCCACCTCAAATACATCACAGTTTGTTATAAGAAAAACATAAATATGGCTAAATGAACTCCTTACCTGGCCTAGGTTTGCCTGTATTGGCACCTTCTTGTACTCTCTTCTGAAGCGATAATACAGCAGCTGTTAAGGTTGGGTTTTTTTTCTGAGTCACTGGTTGCTTGCCCTAGTAAAAGAAGATGCACAATCCACACAACACTAGCAAGGAGCTTACAGATCCCGGTGACAACTCTCCAAATCACTGTTGAAGCAGTGCTAGGAAGGAACAGGAAAAAGGTGCACCCCCTCCTACTTTGAAGCCATTTTTCCTGCCCAAAATAGGTAAAAGAGTAATGAGATTTTCAAACATCTTAAAAAAAAAAAAAAAAAATCAGTACTCTCCTAAAGGAACTGTTTACATTTTTTTTCCCTATAATAAAATAGGAGCTCACTTCAAGACACTGCCAATTAGCTCCACTTTTCTGATTCCCCAGAGGGTCCCAGCCCTTTGGCCTTGTGTCTAGCGACCAGGGAGTAAATCAGCTATACATTTGCAGGGAACAGCAAACCTGCAAACAGCAGGGAGCCCTACTGAACAGGAAGAGCTTTCTCTATGTATTGCAAAAGCTGCCAGGTTTCTGCTTCCCTACAGCTGTTACCCTGGAACCCAATCGCAGAAGAGTCTAAAGAAATTGTTGTCCAACTTTTTCGTACCATCATATTCTGTCACTTTTTATTTCAGACAAAGGGCTCCAGTTTCAGGGAACTCCTAGCTGATGTTCAGCATGTATCTTGTCTTAAGAATTTACCAACTTCCCTGGAGTCCTAAGTTTTGTATTAATATAGGTCTTTACTCACCATAAACTACAGTTTGGCAAATCTGCCTCCAGGACAAGACAAGTGTGACTGTGTTTGCTTACCAAAGCCTGTCTGGTGGTCTTTGCAGCAAAGGCACGGCGGGCAGCTTGTTCTTCACAAAATTTCATGTGCCTCTCTGCTGCAGCCTCATTAAACCTTCGTGAGCAGTGCGGACACTGAATATAGTCTGATCATGAGAAAGGAACAACTTGTGTCACAGTTTATACACGACAGGAGAAGAATTGCCCTGCTTTACTGGAGCACTCAGGATGTAGTTCAAAACCTGGCGCCGTCAGCAGGATGACCACGGTGGGTTCCCATGAGCTCCCAAAGTACAAATGTAGGAGAACTACAAAAACCTCCTCTAGAAAAGCACTTGGGATCCCGAAATGCATGCTTACGGTATTAACCCAGCAAACAGTAATTGCTTTCAGAAATAAATCCCTGGGGATTAATAAAAGCAGATTTTATTATTTTTGTCCTATTCCCACCCCCAACCTCACAATTAACATATCTGCAGAAAAAGCGATATTTAGAAATTCCTCGAGTAGTCTAAACCAATGATTTTAAGACTACTTTTGAAGATTGGTCATTAAGATTGTTAGTTGTTTTCGCAAAATCCATTTCCTTTGGACATTGACAAAATACTGCTTAAGAAGCTCTGCCCCGCCAGCTGAGGCACATCCAAGAGCCAGGTTTCTGGGTGTGAAGCAGCATTGTGAAGAACACATAGCAGTCCTTCCTAGAGTCGTTTTTGACAGGGTTATAGTCCTGGTTCTGCTAAAAGCTGTTCAGCTACATTTATCGCTGGTGCAGTCCCACTCGTTTCAATGAACAGTTGGTGTTCAGAGTCCAGGCAGTCACATTCAGCCCTCACACTGCCCTTGCTGTCCTCAGATCCTTCCTCCCCTCCCCGTGGCTTTTACAAAAGCAGCCCAAGTGTCCTTATCCTAATATTACAGATATAGTATCTTTACAAATAATTTCTCCCAGTAACAGCCCAGATAAGGTGACCCAAGCAGCCACCAAAAGCCAGCCCCAGACCAGCAGCGTGGGCAAAATGGTTCCGAAGACAGGAGGGGAGGACGAGGCAGGGCAGATGCCTGGCTTCGGGGGCACTTGCAGGGGGACCTGGCACTTCAGGGGAGAACGGGGAGTTTTGGGCTCTATTTGGAGGAGGGAGAGGGAAAGGAAATATCCCTCTCTCCTCCCCACAATCTATGTGCTTTCTCTCCAGTCCTGTAGTATAGGATATACACCCTCAGCAATGTGTCTTTCCTAAAAAGCCGTTCTCCAATTCCTTTCTCCACAACTACAGCAGCTTTTGCATGACTGTTTCCTCCAAGAGGGAGAAGGAAAGGGAGGGGTCTGCTCTTAGAGTCGGTAGAGTCAGACAAGAAGTAAGAGTCATTAAAGAATTCAGCAGTGGAAATTCAGAGAGGAGCTTGACCCCAGTCAAGGAAGGAAGATGTGTTCTGCTGCTTATACTGCATCGCTGTCATCTAGAAGAGGAGAAAGGCTGGAATCATGGCAGCTGGTTTTGTTATCAGTCATGAATTCCTGCTCTGGAAGTGAGCCCAGAGAGCCCCCCCTTTCCCCTCCCTCCCTCCGCCTTCCTAACGCAGGTGGGACTCCACTGAGACCCTTTCCAAGATTGCTCCCACATTTCATAAATCACACACCATGAGAAATACCAGCTGTATGTGCATCTCTTTGGACCCGTAACTTCTAACACAATGAGCTCTGTGCAGAGACCACACCTCGAATTAGTAGTAAACCAGACCTGCCTTTTTCTGAGTGACTTCCCCATACTACGCAGGAGAAGGGGACAGTGGAAAAGCCATCGCATGGGAGTGGGAAGTCCCTGTGCACTACAGTTGTTTTGAATGGTGAGGGGATGTATTTCACCCTCTGTTATACCGTGGTACAGCCTATGCTAGAACACAGGCACCCCAACTCTCCTCCCAAAGCACTGTCTAATATCAGACCCCAAACTTGCTGCCTTTAAACTTAAAAGGTGCAGTTAGTTTTCTCTTCCTCCCCACCACCTCTGCATTGCACTCCTACTTGATTTAAGCCAAGAAATACAGCTGAAAATTAGAGAGCACAGAGGGAATTAATGTTCACATTGTGTTGTGCCGGGGGGTGCAAAACTGAAGCCCAGCTGTGGATAATAAGAGGTCACTGCTTTACCAAAGATCAGGACAAGATCAGTACTAAGATAAAGTAGACCACAAACCTGGATTGATGCTTGGTGGGGGAGGAGGCGGAAGAGGGCGGCCCTCCTTCAGAGCTTTTGTGACTTGCTTGGCTGATTGAACAGTATTAATAAAATCCTCATGGTGCTGCCTCCAGTTAGATTTCTTCCCTGGCTGTTTCTGCAATGGCATTAAAGAAAGACACAAACTACATTTCCCCCTTGCAAGGGACAGAGAAAAATCTTAGAGTAAGGGTTCTTCTTTTCTGAGGGAAAGGAAGAACGTTACAAACAAAAGAAATCTGCTTTTTTTGAAAGGCATAGGAAAGCTGATTTAGCCCTTTGACGTCTATTGACAGCACCAGAAGATGGATAAAAGAACAATGCCCTTCAACAAAACACTCTGGTCGTGGCAGACCAAAGGCCGCTTAAGAGGGAATAGAAAAGACACCAACGCCTTCCCTTCTCCTTCACTTGTCAGATTCTTCTTTTTCTTTAAACCTTTGTGCACTTCTGTTTCTTTCCACAACTGATTTTAAAGAACATTTTACAACAGCAGTCTGCATGGATACCAAATCAGCAGTGATTTGGCATCTCTGGGTAAAATTATACACATGCATGTCCATGTGTATTCCCTGCCTCCCCAACAATGCATGAAAAAAAACCTTGTTCCAGTAAGAGCTTAAGCCTCTTCCCCTCCAGCTCTGTAAATAAGTTCAATTTAAATACATTTTTAAACCCTTGAGTTCAATAGCAGTGAATCTCTGTAGCTTCATCCGTGGAAGATTTGGGGCTACTGACAGCTCTCAGGTTCAACCTGGGGCATTCACGCACCAACCATCTTGGATCACGCTCTCTTTCAGATTTAAGTGAAGAGGAAGCTGTCAGAGGCTCGCAAAGCCTTTAAAATACATACACGAACATTTCCTACAAGAGCAGAGACACTTATGTGCCCAGAGTAGTCATGACACCTACTGGTTTGGCTTCTGAATGGAGAAATATTCTCAAACACTAGCAGCACAGGGAAGGGGAGGAAAGAATTTGGCACCGAGTCAAGTCCATATGTGAGACTCATCCACAACATCCAGGCTTTGTCCCCGGAGGAAGCAATAGCGTTACTGAATTGAAGACTTCATATGGAGATAACACACACGCTTCAGTTTTAACTATACCTTTTGCGGGGGCTGCTTCTTCACAGTGGTGATTTCTGTTCCCTGCAGCCTCTGTTTCAAAGAGCTGAAGGGCTTGCGCTTCTTGTTGAAGACTTTCTTGCATATTGGATCATGTCTCAGCTGGGATGCAAAGAAAAACAGTCGTTTATGGGTTGAAGTCATGCTTTGTTAATGATGCTTCCTTACTTGGGCTTTAAAATTACTTCTATTCAGGAGCAGGGAGCTGAAGCAGTGTTTATTTCGGGTTCAGTTTAACTCCTGAAGGACTTCAGCATAACTTTAAAAAGCTGTCCAAGTACAGCTGCAGTTTGAGACAAATAAGAAATAGAAGCCATTTCCAGTTTGTTCTGCTCAGGGACATGCTGGAGGCCAGCACAAATAACGACTTGCAGAGAGTAAGAGTGGGTCTGCGAACAGGAACAGTCCCATTGGACTCACCCCCCGCCCCCCTCCCACTTGGTTTTCTTTCTTTCTTGGTTAAGAGGGAGAACAGACTGATCCTGTTCAAGGGGCTGCTATTTACATTATCAGTTCTTTGAGTTTAGATAAGTATTCCGGGCTGGGGTCTCCCCTGACAAACAGCAGCACTGTCCATCCCATCAGCACCACTGAAACAGCGACGGCCCTGGGCTGAAAGGGAGCAGCTGCTTACCAGCACACGTAACCTGACAACTCAGAAGGAAAACTAGGGATAACACCTGCAGCTGAAAGCACGGGGAAATTTTAGGTAGGTAGATATCCAGTGCTGAATTTGTGGAAGCGCCACACCTTACAACAAAGGAGGTTTTAAGATTCAGAAGCGTCTCAGGCATTTTGGTTACAGCTCAGCTGGGCCAAGAAGCACCTCATTCTGCCACAACACAGATTTCTACATTCTCATTTCCCTTTGAACATTTCTACTCATGTGCTTCAGGTCCTTGTCTTCTGTTTCTAGACATTTTTGACAGCAAACTTGAGAGGAGGATTCTTCTGCAGGACCAAGAGGGCAGCAGATACCTGTGCCTTGCTCACGGAGGAGCGCACCAGTCCTGCATCATCAGGGCATGGACAGGCATTACAAGACTTGTATCTCACGCTAGTTGTAGTGATAAGAAAATTCCCACCTCCCCAAAAACATAGATAACTGTTTTTTTCAAATGATTTTGCTAGATTAAACCATCATGTTCTTCATGTGTCTGGTCTGAGATACCAAACATGGAACTACTAACATGGGGTAGTTCTACCTGCATCTCAGTGCTCACAGTTACTCAGCTTTCAGCGTATTTTTCTTGGTGGTTTTTTTTTGGGTTGTTTTTTTTTTTGTTTTTTTTTTTTTAAGTCAGTTTTTAGTTCTATCGTGGGGATGATCTGATTTACCACAGAGCCACGGGATCAGTAATGCAAACTGAGGAGGGGAGGGACGCGTGCAGAACCCCCCCTTGCAGAAAAACCCTGCAGTTGGGTTGTGCCAGGCAAACTGTGCAGCCACCCATTTAGTTTGTAATCCAGGGATCAGGGAGGTCAGGGGGAATCTTTTCATTCACTTCAGCAGGCTTTGGAACAGAGCCTGGTGCCTACATTATGCTGTCAAAGGGACTACTTATCGGATGGTTTATTAGTCTGTTTTTCCCAGGAAGCCTGAAATAACAAGTTCTGCCTAGAAATCTGGAACACAAAGGAAGCTTCAGGTTAGTAATTTATGTCCCACCAAGAGATAATACGTTATTTTAAACGTGATATATAGTAAACGTCTGTTTTCAGACAAGCAGGTAAGTTAAGGTAGTGTAAGATTGCAGATTGTCACAATATTTTTATGAACATTAATTCTCTAATTAAGTTCACTAATGAAACCAGTTATTAGATCATTTGCTCTTTTAAACATGTGTTCAACTCATTTCTCTACTAGCAGCCACCTCCTTCTTCCCCAGTGCTCATCACCTTTTTCAGCTAAACGCATTGACGTTCCCATTAAAAAAAAAAAGTTTCATTTTACCAGAACATCTTGTGCAAAACGTCTTCCACAGGTTGTACAAGGAGCCAGATCTTGACTTCGGGCAGCTGTGTAAAATTCAAACCACGCAGGAGTCTCAGTTACACAGTACAGGACGGCTCGACTACAGCAGAGTCGGCGTTTGGACGGAGCCCTTGCTGAAACAGTATTTTGTTGTCAGGAAGGGACGTCAACAGTCATGCGCCAGGGCTCCCTTTTGCAGAACTACCTTACTTACCTTGCTCCTCTGAAGCACAAGCTCTCCTTTACTACGACGGACAGCTTTTTGTTTTCCTCATGACTGTCCTTTCACAGTGACATCATGATTGGGCGAGGAGATGATGGAAGAGGACTCAAAGTCGCCGCTGCCTAAATTCAGGGAGGGGGGCTGGAAAGGAAGAGCAGGCGATCTGCACCCAGATTTATTCCATTTTGTTTGTGAGTCATCAGGAAGGAGCTAGCGATGCCCAGTAATGGCTCAGGGTAAACCGTCGCTATTCCAGAAAGTAGCAGTGTCACACTAAGTGTGACACAATCTTCATTCTTAAGACAGAACGTTTCCATGACATGCTAAACAGCATTCCAAGATGATCTTACTTTGTAGATGTCAAATTTGTGGGGTTTTTTTTGTTTTTAGATCAGTAATTTTTTTTAAAATAGGTTTTTAAGTTACACGGAAAGTAATTTTAAGCCTTTCTGACTCCAATGGCAGTCACATATTCTTGTTTCAGAGCAGGGACATTACTTATATTAAACAAAAACAGCTTTTAGGAAAACTTGAACAGTAACAGAGAGCCCTGTTCATGACACTTGTAACCCACAGAGGGAAAGACCTCTCGTTTAAGTGTTCCTTACCTGCTCTTGCTGAAACCCAAGAAATCCTTGTCTGGCTGAGCAGAAGCAGATGTGTGACTGCTTTTGTTTCTTACCTTTTCCTCCAGATTTTACCATACTCCAAGGCACAGAGTTAAGATTACTACAGTGTTTCATTGATTACAAGCGTAGAGGAACAAAGCCATTCTCTAACCTTTTTGACCCTTACTCTATTGCCTCCGTTTAAATGTCTTCCCACTTTTGTTCCCAAGCAACATCTTTCTGTGTGTCTGTGCTTAGTCTGGACTATGCTCTTCCTTTCAAGCGTCTTCCTCTGCCTCCCCCATCTCTTTTACTCTGTTCTCATCCCCTCAAGGTTTTGGCTGATGCAGCTTTTTTTTTTTTCTTTTTAAAAGGAATTTAGGTACAAGCACAGTATCACTTTTTTTTTTTTTTTTTAAAGGAATTTAGGTACAAGCACAGTATCACTGAATCAGCAATGAGAAGTCAGGAAAAAGGACAATTTGCCACAGATTAGTTACTTTAGACATGTACAACAGCAGATGACTTAAGGACTCACGTGCACCGTCTCTAGTAAAAGATTTTCCTTTTCAGTACATCACAAAATCACATTCCACCCAAACCACCGAACAGCATCTGTTACTCACTTGTCCCATTTAACTCCTTTCCTGGTATCTGACTCATCTCAGTGTAATGCTTTCTCAAGTTTCCTCTTCTGCGTTGTTGTCAGGAGTCATGAGGACTAAGTGGACAGTCTCCATCACTCAAAAGCACACACTTCAAGTTACCATGCATCAGCAATTACATAATTAACAATTATGACACAGGCAGACCCTGCCTAAGCCTGTGAAACATACGAAAAATTAGTACAGATATCAGCTAAATGAAAATCCTGAAACTTGTTCTAATCTTAGACGATTTCTACTGATTTGGTTAAGACAGACTCTTGAACAATTTTAGAAAATGAAGGCTTAATCTAGATGCGAATACTGTGTTGACACTTCAGTTTTCTGAGCAGTGATCAAGAGACTTACAGACTTAAATGCCTGTTCATTCCCTTCTCCCAAAACCATGTTACTTTATCAATTAAAATGTATTATAAAAGACTTCTTCCAATAAAACCCAAGTACTTCGAATCGTTTCTGTACATCAAAAGGCCTCATCAGTCCTTCTGCTAGCTTGTCTCCCATCTAGTATTCGCAAGACTATTTAAGGAATATTTAAGATGCTTTGAATTTAGTAGTAGTCAAGCCACTCCACCGACGTGTTGGTTACTGTGTTCCTTACTAGTAAAATGGTTAACTTTTCACCCAAAGGCAGAAGATTGCTCCATCTATAGTCCTAAAGACCTAAAGCTGAGGGTTTCTTAGGAATACAGGAGGATTCAGAAGGACTGACTACCAATCCTATTCATTTCATTCACACGTATGGACTGGTCACTATCATAATAATTCACATGCACAGTACAGAAATTTAAGATCGCACCAAGCCTAAAGATACCGGCCCTCTGCTCATCTTCAGAGTCTGCAACAATTGCAGTGGGACATAAGTTTGTATTTCAATGAAACCAAACTGAATGCAAGACCTGAAGAACACTATTTCAGGAAAATCAAGACAATGGCTATCTGCAACATACAGCATTTTTCTAAGTTATCTGCTGCTCTGTTTGCCATACTACTCAGACCGAGTACTTTTAGCAAAGCTGATTTCAGTGGCAACAGTAAGGGTCACTGACTACTGCAACACTTGCTGCGACAGATTTTATTTGCTAAGAAATGTAAAACTCAGGTAACAGGGATGTCTAGCTACACCACAGCTTTTCAGACACCTCTGTCTACAAAATCTTATTTTACATCTTTCATAATAGTACCCAAACAATAAATAACCAACCCAGAAAAGAACTAAGGAGTAGGTGAAAACTTGACTTACAAAATGGTGCTGTATCAAGGAACTGTATTCAACCATCAGTATAAGGGAGAGGAGACAGGAATGGATGTATTGCTTTGTAAACTGAAATAATAGAAGAATCTAATCAGATCAAATCTGTAGGATTCTGCTGATTCATTGAATGTATTCAACAAATATATATATTGAACTCTGTCCAGTGATAGCTTGTAAGAAAAATATTGTTTTATAATTTTAATACATTTCTACTGTAATGAAACTTTGCAACAGTTGCCATGTCACTCATGACAGAACAGACACCACTAATACATCGTTTTATGTATAACTTCATTTCAGAAAGAATGACACGTTACTGGTTCTTGTTACAGTAACATCTGAATAACCCCCTTTGAGCATGATGGGCAAAGCTATGAGTTAGCAGTTCCCTTCTCAATACAAATGAAAACTTAAGGATGTTTCCGCAATAAGTTCCTCAGCTCCGTCAAGACAGCTTCAGTCCTTGAACATTTTGTTTCAGATTGAGCAACTCTTTTTCCTGCCTTGTTTTCTCCAATTTGAAGGCTAGCTTGTTGGCTTTCTTCTCCATTCTGCGTTCCTGTGCATACAAATAATTACAAATTTACAAAATAGGCATAACATGCAAAAAGAAACCATTCTAATTAACAGTTCTAGATCATGAAAACAGCAGCAATCTGGACAATAATATTATTTATGGCACTAATTATTAGTAGTCAAATTGATATGTGTACCACCAGGATTATTGTCTTTAATTAGCTGAAGCTTCTAATACACTGGCAATTTCTGTTCCTAAATAAAACGACTAATGTATCACTGTGGCCAATTAGATTTTCCACATTTCTTTCAGACTTTTCACTTTGTGCGATCTGAAACATTGTAACTGTTTTCTTTGCTTCCCTAGATAATAAGGAAATATATGGGCTCCTTCCAAAGTTATTGTGGCCATTCTTACATATATAACAGACCAAAATTTCCATAGAGGAAATTAGGATGACAAAATTATGAGGTTAACTTTCTTTCCAGTAGATTTTTCTTTAAAGAAGCAATAATTAGTCCTTTGAGACCAGCAAGTTTTTCCCATTAATTTCCAGATACAAGAACAAATGAGCTTTAAGAAAAGTTCGTAAGACAGAATTCAGGTAATATAACGTGTTTTTGCAGGGTTTTATTTAAAATAAGGCATACCTTTCGCTCCTCTTTTATTGCCTGTTTTCTAGCTTTGCGATCCTCTTTGCTCTCATCTTTGGAACGGGGCTGTGTTGATGCTCTTGGCAGGTCACTGCCATTAATCATTTGCATGCGCTCAATCTGCTTAGCAGTAAGACCTTTCTGAGGCAAGATATGGAGGGGAATTCCGGTCTTCTGGGAAATTTTTATTGGTTTGGGCTAAAATAGAGAGGGCGTACGTATTAATGGTCCCTAGCTTTCTCTCCAAGAAGTGCACATCGCACTGCCTTATCAGTATAAAAACATTAGATTCAGATTTAGCGGTAATAAGCATGCAAGTTTCCTCATAGTATTTTCTTCCCTCAGAAAAATGCACATTAATCCCAAAGGAAGAAATCAAACACTCCGTGAGCAGAATCTGGCCTCCCAGAACAAAAAAAAAAGTTTCTCCCTTTTATTTAAATATTACTGGGGAAAAAAAAAGAACTTAAATAGGCATTTAATATTCCTTTATAAGCTTTCAAGAAAAAGGTTTCCTTTCAAAATCTCACACATCTGGAACATCAAACTCTGCGCTAATGATGGGGAATGCCTGGAAGGCCAAAGAACTAGAATAAACTGTTTCAAACTGTAGAAGGGAAATACAAGCCTATTTTCAAGAAAAAAAAAAAAAACTAGTATGTGGTTGTGAGACAGATTACACAAAGGTCTATCACAGATAACAAGGAAGTAAGTTCCTTGCTCCCTGTTTCTGCCTAGCTATTACAGAAATTTTGAACTTACTCAATTCTCCTTCTAAAAGAAAAAAAAAATATATCCAAACCTTTCTTCAGTGAAAAAGTAATACCAGAGGCTAACACCCTCCCCAACCCTCTTTTCTGCTCCCTCCTTCTTTTAAAAACAGATATCCATTGAGAAAACAATCACTTTTGTCTCAAATTTTCCCAAGCCAGGTTATTACTCAGAATAAGTTTAATGATTTTACCTTTGATGGCTCCTTAATAAGCGTTGGGTGATTATATAAGTTTGAATACGTACCTAGGTCACAAAGAGGGGGGGGGGAAAGTAGTGAAGAAAGGCTTGCAAATAGAAATTAGGTAAATTTATTATGAATTGTACTACTATTTAGTCTTTTAAGATATAAAATCACAAGAATTACGTTATCCACACAAAAGTAGTAGTTTTATCTAGCAAGAATTCCTGCTGTTGTGCTCCAGAAGCATAAACCATTTTACCTAAAGCACTGTTAGAAAAGTTCTGAGATCACCTATTGTTTACTTTGAAATCTTAGGAACAAGCGAACTCCAAAATACTTACTCAAAATGGATTCGCAATCCCACTTTTCTTTTGGTTCCTCAATAACTACAGCTACTATTTCTTCCTTTTCTTCCTCACTTTCTTCATTCATAGGAGAGTCTAAATCTTCACAGGGTTCAAGAGCATCCAATTTCACACAACTTTGAAGAAGTCCAAAGAAAAAAAGATAAGGTGTATCTTTTCTTGAAAATGCGTAAGTATGTACACCCAGTCTGCCCTCAGTAAAACCCCAAACCAAAGCAAGCTATTCCTAATGAAACTTGCAGCAAAAAGAAGTTTCCTTAAGTAAGCATCCCCAAAATAAACCAAAACAGTAGGACAAGAGACAGAGTCGACAAAGAGGTATTTCTGCATTTCAAAATTATGTGGCACATGGTATTTGTGATTGGAGGGCAGGAAGAGAAGAGGGTGTACACTTTTTAGTCTGTAAGCAAGGCAGCTCTAGAGGTGATTATGTACTCTACTACTGACCAGTCATCTTTCACTACAAGGGACACATTACCGTATTTTTCAATCAGGAAACACAAGACTGATGTGAGAACATTTAGCCATTTAACTTTGGGATAATATCACCTGCTTTAAGACAAAGTGAATATACTGTGGAAATGCAGGCTTACGCTGACACAGGGTTGCTTTATAAGCACTGATTTTTGCAGTGCTCCGAACAGTGGTACCCATGCAACAGTTGCCTGCGAGTTTATTATCATGTCACTAGGTACAGTGGAATCAGCTGCATACCAGCAGGACAGAATATGCTTGGCTACAGAGTCTGTTAAAAACGAAAGTAAATAAGGAGAAAGGTAAGTTACGCTAAAAAGGGAAAGGAAGAATGCCTCTAGATTTTACTTACACTAAAGTCAATACAATTACACAAAAGGAGCATAATCTCACGTAAACCAACAAAATGCCTCCACTTAATTTTATCATCTCATAAGCTAAGATTGACATTTGGTGACATAAAAAGAACCAGTTAATACTCATACGTAGCTGCTTTTATTGTGGGATGTCATCTTTGAGTACGTGAACTGGAAACAACATACCCAAACTTTCCATATAAACACAGGATCACAAAAATACTTATGTGAAGCGGTACTTCTGGGAATACATACTTCTTTGCTCTCTCTTTGTAGTAATCATTCAGGACTTCCTGCAACCGAGCATTGTCCGTGTTAATATAGCCTTCTAACTCCGCATTATCCAAGGCTCCAATTTCATCTTCATCAAATTGTTCAAAAAACTAAAATAAGGAAGTGGATATCTGTAATTAGATCACATTT